GCATCCATACACAGAATTTCAGAGGATCTGGATCCAACAAACATTTTCGAAGTAAAATTACCTACCACAAAAATACTCCTGTACTTCCACACAGATCAATAAGGGTATAGCATATGCTTTCTTGTCCCACTATTTCTCAGTACAGAGACATCTAGGAACCATTTACATTTAAAAAAAAACTTTAAAAGATATTAATGTATGCAATTTCTTATATACTCATTATCCATTTATTACGAGGTGAACCACTCTGAGTTCATTAGTATAAGCTGGCTAAACTATTGCTGAGGTTACTGTTGATGCTTTAAAGGTTTTTGTTGAGTTCATCCATTATTCTTATATTTTAGTACTTTATAAATGTAAGTTGTTCCCTCTGTAATAGTTACCTCACATTTCTTCTTTCTTTGACCTTATGTCTCTATGTATATATGCATGTATTTGGCTGGCTTGCTATCTCTGCTTTCAGCTAACCTAATGGATAAATCACATATAGAGGAAAGGTTTTTAAGCCACTAGTTTTGTTCTTCCACTTAAAGCCAGTTCAATTCGAATAAGCATCAAATCTACGTGACTGCATCTGCTTGTCAGGTAGGTGAATGTCTAAAATCCGTAACACGTGTATGAACACTTGAGACTGCAAAATCAGTAGTTTGGTCAACAACCCTTAAAAAACTTTCCCTGATACCAAGACTGTTCAGCAAAATTCTGGAAAATATAAAGAAAAAAAGTCAAAGACTGAAATGTTATTGCACTACATAATATCCTTCATTCTTCTGAATCCTGTCTTGCTGGGAGAAGATAGCTCAGAGAAATGCTATCTCAGTGGAGTGAAAGTAAATAACGCTCCCTTCTCCAAGTTTCTTACTCCAAATGCCAATGATCAGGTCAGCATAAGAAAACTGCCCCAAGCACCTGCTCATAGTGAATGAAAGGTCTGTCAACAACAAAGTTAGCACTATTCATGATCTCATTTTGGATGAAACACTAGACCTAGCCTGAAGCACAAGGACCTAGTTTAATGTCACCACTTCAGCTCAGTCCAGTATTACAAGTTTCTCAGTACAGTACAAAACAAGCCCTAAAGAAAAGAAGCGGCAGCAGCAATCTGTCAGATATTTACTGAGCGTTTCCTTAACTCACTCTCGCATTGCTATCCCCAGCACATGTCTGTAGGGATGTGGGCTTGGGCTCTGTCACACACTGGTAGAGAGGGCAGCCCTCATGGGCTTCTCTACATATCTGTCCTACAGAAGCGATTTCCTCTGGCTCACTGACGTCCTTTGCATACTGACCACCCACTGATCTCTAAAAGAAATAGTGATATCAGGCTGGAAAAATTAAACTTTGTTCATTCTTGTCTCTCTGTAGAAAAAGCCACTTTTCTTATGTGACATTGTAAACTCATATGTGCAAGATAATGAGCCAACCTGAGTACCTTATCATTCACATCTATTGCCAAAGGTTCAGCAAGCACACATACAAATATGTGTATTTCATGGTAATTCAATTGAAGTTAGAAGCTGAAAATGTTGTTTTTTTTTTTTTCTTTTTTTTTTTTTCATGGAATATGTAGAGTCCTAAATAACCAAAAGAGAGATCAGGTTGATATGAGTAAACATGATTTTTCAGCCCTTTCGTAAGACAGCTGTCAAATGGCAAAAGGATCTATTGGCAATATGGCCACTGTTGAGGTAGCTACAATATTCCCCTCTCCCTATAATTTTCCTTTTCACCTGCCAAACCTATTCATTTATATGCTTATATCCTGTTATTATATAAAATCAGGATGACAAATTGTATGTCTGCAGCCCTCTTTGTTCCCATTCTACAGCCCAGTGAACGTTCCTGGTGTACATCAGTTTTATGTGAATGTAGGATGTTTGGGGTTTGTGAAAAATGTTGCTCTGCATGATTCATTTTACTGCAGCTAATGCCAGGAAAAAAAAAAAAAACTCCATTGAAAATAATAGCCTGCTTCTTGGACTTTGCACATATATTTCTTTTGTCTGGTTGTTCTTTTGTTTAAGCCACTATCCAGGTGGAATAATCAGGTCTCTACAAGCAGAAACCCATCAGCTATGGCATTATATATTACGGTTTCTAAGCATCACTCACACATGTCAGTGCGAGAGGTTCCTGCTTTGTTTGTTTCCAGGTTTCTGAAGCTGCACCCATCAGCCAGCACAGCCCTGGCACCGAGTGGTGCCGCAGGGCTCCATCTCAGGGATGTGCATGGCCCCTTTGATTCATCCTCACTCGGTGCCGAGGCAGATGCTGACACTATCAGCATGTACTTACATACAGGAATAACTGTAAAAAAAGTGGAGATGAAATCTTGGTTCCACTCGCATCAGGCATAAAACTCTCATTGACTCCGCTGGGGCCAGGTTTTTATTCCTGATATGAATTTTCTCTGTCAGACAATTTAAAGATGCTTTTATGAGGAAAGGAATCTCACCATCTAAAATACCATGTTTGCAATTCTGGAAATCTCTGACATATGTTTTAAGAGTGTGTCATATTTCCTACTGGGAAACTTTATGATGCCAGTAGCATTATGGGAAGATAGCTTCGCAAAGGCTGTGATAAAGAAGCGGAGATATTCAGTGATGGTGCTGGAGGTCATTTTAAAGTTACAACTTTTTCTTCTCTTTTTTTTTTTTTTAATCAACTTCCTAACTTTCATGGTGTTGTTTAAAAAAAATAAAATAAAAAAAAAAAACCACCTTGCCAGTATTTTGCTGTGTATCTCTTTCATTCAGGTCCATTACTATTTCACATACTACTGAAAGAAACCATGTTTGCCTCTCTCATTTTTGTGAATTTCTTATTTATTCTATTTTATTTTTTCAGTAACACACTAAGGGCTTGATACAAAAGCCTTTTAAATCAATAGGTGGATTTCCCTCAGGTTTCAGTGAAGCCTGAATCATTAATAGGACGAATATTTACTTTTTTTTTTTGGCAGCAAGTACGACAAATGTTCATGAGTTCTCAAAGATTGAAGTCTCTAACTGAAAATAGCCCACTTCATGTTGCCTTTGTTTCTTCTGTGAAGCTACCTTGTCATGTACCAAGTGTGCAGTTATCAGCAAAATACCATGCATTATTTTGTGGTAACACAGCATATATCTTGTGTCACTGCTCTATGTGAGTTTAGCACAAAATATAACCCTATTAAAATTACAATGCATTTTTCACCTAGCTCAGTTCAAAGCACTCACAAGCTGCAAAGAATTTAATTAAAACACAATGATTTAATAGGCAGGTTCCGTCTATTGTTTACTCAGGAGGTTGAGATTCTGTTTAAAATTAGGTCCCAAATTTAATTTAGGCTTCCACCAAACTTGCCATGGAAATGAGACTCTTTAGAAAGAAGCGAGGCACAGATGGTGGCAGTGAGTCGTTGCCTTTTGATAGCCATGGGGTACTTTGGGAAGTTGAAGAAGTAGTTGGCATTTGTCTTGCTAAAAAGGTGCGTGATAATCATGAGGAAAAGTGTGGTCTCACCTCCAGGAGGGCTCTGTGGTGCTGAAGGTGGGAAGGCTGCACAGCCTGAGGAGAGCAGGCACTGTCTGAAGGGTGGTGGGGATGGTTCATGCAGCCACCTCCAACACCTGACGGAAGCCCCAGGGACCACAGACAGAACGTTTCAGCTTGAGTTGCTTTGTCTGGGGCTAATCATCTTATTTTCAAGTAATGAGTTGTTCCCCGGGGCAAAGGTCTTTTCACGCCTAAAGCCTGATCTTAATTTCTTTGCCTTGCTTATTCAGTTTACAAAAGGTTCTTAAAATGCATTTTATAAGAGCAGCTTCTCATAACAATACAACTAGTAAAGAAAAAGTGCTGCAGCAGAGCAAGTCCTGAGGGAAGGGGAGAGGGAGCACAGTGGAGCAACCATTTTAGGTGGCAGCCCCAGGGAGTCCAGGAGCACATGCAATGAAGGATTCTGGGGGCAGTACGTTTTTAAAACTCTCTTCTTTACAAGGCAAATATATCTCCCTTTATACAGATGGATCTTGGTCTGACTCAAAGAAGATATTGTACATGACTTCTATAAACAGAAAAAAATGTAAAAAGCTTGCCGTGAAATGCATGATTTAATGTACATATAAAAAAAGGCACTATGCCAGTTTCTCAGTTTCAGTCACAGTTTTAATGAAAAGTGATTCTAACATTTGAAACATCTTAAAAGCTGTCCCAGCCAAATGCCACATTTCTATATATTATTTGAGCTATAATTCTGAGTTTTAGTAGGATGTTACTTTTATCTCTTGATAAAAGACAGTATTTAATAATTTCTTATTATGGAATTAAGATTTATTTATTATAAGTATGTAACAAAACATTTCAGAGAAATTTCTTCTACTTTGCAAAATGATCTGTGGGAAAGATATGTTAATTTAGTTTAGCTGCACAGGCCTATTATGTGTTCACTGGTAATGTACTGCAGTCCTAATTCACTGGATCCAGCAATCTGCTTGGATAGTCAGTACATGTGTTTTTCTCATCAGAGAGCCCAGATTTAACATCCATACCTTGACTTTTAGCAGAAAATTGAAGCTGAAATGCCTGCTGTGTTTTGCATATCATAACCCAGATTATTCAAATTCACAGCTTTAAAACCACTTGTGTCCATCTGGCTTTAGAAAATTGAGAATTCTGCCCTTGCCTGCAGTTCCAGGAAGGGTTACGGTCCAGCACACATGGGCTGTGTCAACACCACACGTGCTTATGGAAGTTGATCAAATGCATTATAAATCCATGGTTTCACAAATGAACCACTTATGCAGTTAAGGGGATCACATGATGCAAGGAAGGTGGTGTCAGAGATTACCTGTAGTGCTCAGGCTACGTCCCGATGTGCTGTGGAGACCTGCTGGTTAATGCTATGGAGGAGGCTCAGCGATGCACCAGAAGGCACCTGTTCTCTGTCCTTTTTGGACTTGGGCTTTCTTCTACATTCAAGAAGTGCTTGACCCATTTTTTTGTGTTACCCCCAGCTAACTAGCAGACGGGGCATAGCGTGGTATAAGCTACACCTACTGAGAGGCTGGTCCCGGTCATTGACAGAGCAAGACAGGTTGGTTCATTCCCTGCTTTCAGGCTGGGGTCACTGAGTTTGATGTTGCAAACAGGTTCTACTGCTGTCTATAGGGTTTAATTGCAATTTTCGTATAACTTGGCCAGATGCCTGTTCCCTTGCATTGGTGGGACCCTGCTCTGCTGAGAACTGCAGACTCTTGCTGTTGAATAGAGACATAAATTATTTACATTACCTTCATATAGCAACTTATTGACTACAGCATTGTAAAGTACCCTATTAATGTTTTAAGCATTTCACTTTATTTTAATACAAGTAAATTATTTAGGAAATGTTAAAATGCTTTATGCTTTGACTAATGAGAAAGAAAAGTGTACGCTGCATCCTATTTTAATTGGATGTTTACTCTATCCTGTAGAAATCAGGCATTTATTATTTCAAACTTAATTAACTATGCATACAATTCCTGATGGATATGCATTCAGTTTTTCCACTTGATCTAGTCATTAAGAGCCATAAATGTGCAGATTATTTTTACTTGGAAATATGAAATAAGTTTGGTTTTCAGGTAACTCAGTTACTATATGAAGTGAGTTACTATACCGCTCATTATTCTGATGCATTCAATTTTCTAAATTAATGCATATACAGTACATTAAATTTGGGATAATGTAAATTGATTCAAGTGGTGCAAAACTCAGTCAACCTGGAGTGATGCCTTCAAATTTTTCTTCCATCTTCGTTAGCAAAGAAATATTAATATTTTTATCATGTTGTAGTATATTATAGGTATTTTTAGGACATACTGCAATGTTGAATGTGGTCTTATGGAATGTTTGATGTTATTTCAATATTATCTTGTGTTCTGCATAAAAATGTAGAGTATCCACTTTCCTCTTAAACTGTTTATTTACCTCTTAAATGATCTTCAGATCCTACAGAGATAGGATAAAGAGCCCAGCAGTAAGCAAAATTTTGCTTCATCCTCCACACCCCACACAAGAGTGTGTTTTCTTAGGAGAAATCATCAGAATTGAATTTGTGAAAAACAGCAGGGCAGAGTCTCTAAAAATGCAGCCCCTGAATCAAGACAGGACAGCTGAGTGTTGCTCTTTGGCTTGTGGCAAAACTTGGTTTTAGCTCAATCTCGTTATTATTTCTCCAGATACTGTTTGTATTTTGTGTCATAGATCTGAAACCTATTGATTAACAAACATCTTGCTCAATGCTCCATGCTGAACAACGGCAATCTGGAAGTCAGGAGCAGTTCAATGCCGAGAGCGTGTTTCAGGCAAGGCCGCTGACAGACAAGTCATGTAATATGCTATAATGTTGTACCAGGGAAAAAGAGACTTGGATGATGACTACAGGAAAAAGAGCTATAAAAGAGCAGGCAGCAGATTCTTCCTTATGTATATTTGATCAGCCAGCTGTTGTCGCTCAGTTTCCTTACAGTGGTCAAATTTCCTTCTAAAATAAAGAACTTGAGGCTTCAATTTGAGAAGAAACAGATTAGTAAGAGCAAGCTTCTAGCCAAGGGAGAAGTTTGAGGAAGAAATCAAAGCAACGACTCCTGCAGGAGGCATGGGAAGGTACCGGTGGTGAACTGCTGAAGAAACTGCATGGGATCATGAGAATGAGGATGGCAGAAGAATCCCTGGGGAAGCGAGGAACAGCCCACGCACAGGAGCACCTGAATCAAGGCCACAGTGAGGATGCAGCATTAATAAGGCAAAATCGGGTCCAGGCTGATTTACCATTAACATCATTAACGTACACACCCGCACATCAGACTGCTTTTCACCAGATCCTGATTAGATGAAGCAGAGGCCAACGAAGAAATGGAGCCCTTGCCTCTTGGAGAAGTTTGACAATGTTGCATTACAGTAGTTGAAGCAAATTAGTCTTTTCCAGACAGCAATGTCTTTGCAATTTTCTTAAAACCATTCATTTAAAAAATGCTTTTCAAATTACCATGCAGGCTTCATAGAACAATTATAAGTGCACAAACAAACCCTGTTGCACTGCTGTGCTAATTACCCTCCATGCTCCTGATCTTTCAGGTTGCTGCCGTGTTGCAATGGAGACTTAGAAGTGAGTTCCTGCTCCATGTGCTGTAGGAAACAGTAGGTTGCAGATATACAGAAGTAATTTCCTTGTCCGTAGCCAATTCTGTCCTCATGGCAGCAGGGTTTTAGAAGTTTCCCACACAACAACAACAACAAAGATATACTTTTTCTGTGGAAAATACATTTATTTTTATAAGCAATTATGAAATTTACTATTAGCCTATATAGCATTGATGACAATAAGGACTCCCAATGAAACTTCAGTGTGAATTTGATGGGAAAAATGCATCCTTTTCATAAAGATTAAAGTAAAAATCTGCATGGAGTATTTAGCTTGGAAAGGATGAATGGATATTTCAGTGCTAGTGATCTGTTTAGTCCAGAGGTGAAGCTGAAACAAATCCTGCACTAAACACTGATGCTATGGGATAAACCTGACTGCTTCTTTCTTTTCAATCAGGAAAAGGAAAAAAAAAAAAAAAGTGACCTCTTGATGTATGCCTTGACATATGTTGATATAGAAATATTTTAAGTTAATATTATTGATTATTTTGTTCACACCACATTTCAACACTTTTGATTCCTATTATGTTGCTGGATTCATCGTTTTCCTGTGTCTGTGCATTCCATGGGCAAATTAGGCTGTAAATACATTAACGGTGCATGCAGCCCTGTCTGTGCTCATGGATTTCTCCTCCATTTTCACATTGCATGAAAAGCAGAAACACATCTACTTTTCAGTATCCTTCATAAATCGTTTTTACTTACTTGTAAACCTGCTGCAGAATAAAGGATAACTCTATTACACTGTATTAGTCCATTGCCGGAGTTCCTTGAAACAGGTTTACATGCTATAGATATCAGGGAAAATGTGCCAAGAGGAAAACTTAGCTCTCTACTGTTGGGGGGAAGGAAGAAGGAGAAAAAAAAAAAAAAAAAAAAAGCTGTGCTGAACTGCAATGAGCTTTTGTTTTGTTTTTCAAAAAATGTGTCTACTGTTTGAATTCAGTACAAAACTCAAACTTCTTCTCTCCTAATTAGCAAAGTAACATTCATGGGTACAGTGGGAGCTGTGTGGCCAGAATTTTTTCCTGATCTGACCCCAACAATTGCTCTGTTTTTTGTTTGTTGTTTTTTTTTTTTTTTTTTAAACCAGAAATATAGAAAGATGGAGACATAAAGATAAGAACATATTATCTATTTTTATCACTTAAGCCATTTTGGTCAAAACGGACTTTTTAGAGATGAAAACCCAGCAATCTAGATACAGATGGATAAGAAAAAGGCTATTTCCTATCCCACAGCAATTCTTTATGTCTTGAGATGTCAGCAACCTTATCGTTCCTATTGGGGATGAAATGGTGCTCTGAAATATGAGGGGAAAAGAGTTCCTCTGAAGAGCCATAGCCTTCTGGTTGAGATATAAAATTGAGATCACCAGAACCATAGAAAATGCAGGCAGAAGGGCCTCAAGAAGCCATCTATTTTATTCCACTCAGAGATAGGATTAACCACATCACAACTGTCCTTTGAAATTTCCAATGACATAGATGCCACAGATTTAAAATGGAAATTGTACTGCTTAATGGGCTTTCCTGATAAAATGTGTTGCTTTTTTTTTTTTTTCCTGGTGTTTATCCTACATCGTCCTTTCAGTTATAGCTACCCACAGTGAAGAAAAAAATGTTCCCATCAAGATAAAGCAGAGATTTGTGACTGAGTAACTTTTTATCTATGGGTAGTCCATCAGTATCATTAACTTAAATATGTTTGCAGAGCTTGACCAAGTTTCACCAAAAATGATGTCCCAAAACAATGTCTAGATCCACACATAACCATTTCTATTAGCTTTTACCAGTAAAGCTTGGGACTATAAGCATCTATACATTTAAAATAAATAAATGCTATTTTCATTTTCTTGAAGAAGAAGAGAGTTCATAGCACTCATGCATGGGTCATAGCCCTATGTTGGCACTTTGAATCTGACATGGGGCTTAGGGGCAGAGCGGGGAGTTGGTTGCCTTCAGAAAAGTATTGGCCTGTGCCTTAACAAGTCTGTTCTTCCCTATTTACAGCACAGCAATATCAGGTTTATAGTTAGAAATGTCACTCAGGATTGACAAAATTGGTAAATTCTCTGCTGGGGACTTGATTTCTTTGCTGTTTAGCATTTGATGGAAATATGCCAGGAAAGTGCTCATGGTGTTGCAGAAGCAAAGTGGAGTAGATCTGGACACCATTTGGGAAGAAGACAGAGCAGGATAAGTGGGATTCATCAACAGCACTATTATAGACCAACTCCTGAATTCTTAAGAAAGCAGTAGTTAGAAGCAAACAATTCAGATGACTGCAAGGAGCCTGCCTAGGGAGAAACAAGCTGGCAGTGCTTCATTAGAGCCCATTTTGGGAGGATTTTCTGAGCTACAATAGCTAAAGAAAGCAGAGGGTTTGTCCACCAGCACAGGGTGTGGGGAATGGATTTGCAGCCTTTTTTGTGCTTTCTAGGAAAAATCTTTTTTTTCCCAGATGTTTTCAGGCAGATGATAATATTTGTGATGAGTTGTTTTTTTTTGTGTGTGTGTGTGTTTTTTTTTGTGTGTGTGTGTTTTTTTTTTTTTCTTTTCTTTTTTAAATATGGATTCACTTAGGCTATTTTTTTTTTTTTCAGATAGATTTGTGACTGTGTGAAGAATATTCCTGTGGGTACTCTGTATTCTTTGTAAACATAGATTAAATCACTTACTTGATTTAGGTTTGAATTTGTATACATGTATACATCCAAAAAAAGAAAAAAAAAAAAAGAAGAAGGGGTGGACATATGCATATATATAGCTATGCATATATAAAGTTTTAATTATTTATAATAGTTAAGCCTCTCATTTCAGTTCATTATAATATAATCTTTAGGACCTATTTTTTACATCCGGCCATATGGTGCTGTGACGGATGAGTGAGCTGTTTGCGTTGTTCACAGTTTACCATATATGTGCTGCAGATTTTGTGTTTTGCAGAAAAGCCACGTCTGGGAGGGGACAAGGGGAGCTCTTGCCAGTGCCCCGTGGCTGCGGCACTGTGGGCAGCTTGCAGGGCTTGCAGGACATCGCTTGGCAGCGCTGGGCTGGGTTGGCCATGTCCCACCCAGCCACCTGCACTTTCTCCAGTTAAAAAAAGTCCATCTTGCCCTGTGGGCAGGGAACATTTCTCTGTGCCTGGTCCCTCCCGGGGATTTATCCAGCTCTCACCAGAGCTATGTCCCCTCTCAGATATCTGATAAATGCCATTGCTCCTGCTGCCCTGATTTCCCTGAGGGAACATAAAAGGGACGATCTTTCAGCTCTGAAAAACGGACCAGCAAGAGATGTTCTCAGGCTCTGGCTGGAGTGCAGGACTGCAGAGCATCTTCTCTCCCTTCTGCTCCTCATCCTGACCATAGCACAGCCTGTGGCTGAGCTGAGCTGCTGGTACGGAAAGGGCTCCTGTGCTGAAGCGTATCAGTGCCTCTGATAATCTGGTGTAATGAAGAGGGTTTTGTCTCTCTCTCTTGTAACATAACTGCTAGTCTTCACATAAAGACTCTGTAATCATATCATAGCATAAGATTTTGGTCTCCAGTGATAACTAAATACTGCACATTTCTGTACTTCCCAGACAGAAAAGATAAGTAGACTGCTTATCTCACCTAACACTACATTTTCTAATGTGAAAAAGATGCCGCCAATTTTAAAACCATTCAAATCACTTCATCCTACCGGATGGTGATGCCTGGACCCTGCACCCTTGATTCCTGGGCCTCAAAGTCTCCACTGACCCCGTGGAGTGCTTCATGGGATAAACTGTCTGCAGTCTCTTATGCAGTTATCCAGAGAAGCAGAAAGTGGTAGTATAAAATTTTGCAGGCAAAACTTATTTGAGATACTGAGCACTTTTACTGCAGATCATGTCAGAGCCCATTGCCACAGGTTAAAGTTTAGGAAATAAATTGTAAACAGTATTAATTTTTAAAAGTTGTGGTGTGGTTAGGTATATATTATGTAGACTTTTTGTGTGTATATTTTATCATGCTTGGCCAAGTGTGTTTATTTTCTGCCTTCTTCAAAGGCAAAGCATTCTTCCTGGACCCTCCTGCACAGCAATGATGCCACCTCACTGCAATATTTTGTTTGGGCAGGAGCAGAGGTGACCAGGGGAAGCTTTTTGGGACAGGGATGATCCTCTCCTTCCCAAAAGGACTGCGCTGCACACCTGTGGCTTGACTCCAATTGGAGGAGCTTTAGAATTTAAAGTCCATTTATTTCCATAAAGGGAGGATATACACTGGAACATCATAATGCATATTCTAAATAATAATAATTTAATAATATGATATTCCTATATAAAAATAACTTTTATAAAATTTAATATAATTTTTCTGATAATGTTCTAGCATTGGATTCCCATTCCTTCATCTCTTCATGTGTGAGGAGGGACCACAGTGATGCACTCTATGTGTATGAATGCAATGCAAGGCAGCATTGGATATCAGAAAGTGGTCAAAACTAAAATGCTCCAAAAAAATGTCCAAACAGTAATATTAACTGTTGCTTTGGGAAAAGCTGTGTGGGCTCTTCCCTTCTTTAGGTGCTGCAAAGACTGCAACTGTTGCAGGACAACTATAGTGGAAAAGCAAAACGTCCCCGATCAATAAAGTGAGATGAGACAAAATCACTGCAAGACTCACATAAATTTTGGCTCTCGATTTCACGGCAAACTTCCCTCCCTCCCGTTTTCTTTCCCCTTGCCTCTTGCAGGCTGTCACAAGGGACATGTTGCGGACACCACCTCAGCGCTGCTGCGATGCCTACGCTGTGCTACACCTGCTGGGCTCTGACCTGCGAGCAGCTCCCAGAGCCACACGTGGCTCATAGCCTGTTTTCAGCTGAGAGCAGGCACCGGCAACTTTACACTTATTAAAATAGCAATTGTGCATCCTTTTTGAAAAAGAAAATGCCTTACAGCATGTTTTACACAGGGTGCAGAGCAGATCTGCTCTGTGAGCGCAGGCAGAGCTCCAAACAGAGGAAATGAATGCTTTGTTGATGACAGATCTCTGTTTTTATTCCCAAGGTTCAGAAGTAAATTACCACAAAAATGCAGACAGAACCTGTAATATTTGCCTCCGCATTATTCATCCAGCAGTTCAGGAGCCGCAGATCAGCATGTGAAAGACAGCAGTTAAAATACAGGGCCCATTCCATCTCTTCTGCACTGGTGTAAATCAAGACTAACATTCAGTGAAGCCAATGGAGTGTAAAATTGGTGTAAGTGAGAATCAGTGCCATCTCCTGTACCTATATGTCAGCAAAACTATTTGTTTAAAGTGCTTATAGACACTGCTATCATAAATAGCTTATTTTCCTACACATTAAATAGATCAAAGTATCCAGAGTAATTTTCTAACATGACTAAAATAAACATGTATATTTATTGCCACATCACTTGCAGGAGTCACACTCTCGTTGAGTCTGAATCCAAAAATAGTGATTGATTTTTTTTCTTGGTTTAATAAAAGGAATCACAGTGCTCTATGAAAACATGCATTCATTTTATTTGATTGACATCTTCAATTTTGGATATATATTCTAACTAATGGAATGAATATTGCAATACATGAATCAATTATATCTGTTCAGTTGTCAGGTTTGTAAAGTGAGAACAGTTTAAATTATATATGATCCAGCTGTCTATATATTACAGTGTCTTAATAAACAATACTACCATCAATACATTTGTTTTAATGAGGAGCTCATCAGCATGCGTAGCTCGTATCTGATCC